CAGGCATAATGTAAATAGATAAAGCAATTTCCTCACATGACAGATTTTGAAATATAATACAAACCACCCATTACAAATACTGCACAGTGTTTATCAAATGTATAACTGCATCAAGACCTGTATTTTATTTGAAAATAATGTATACGAGTTTATGTGGTCGAGCTACAGATCTTGGGATGCTTTCTTAACTTTCAATTATCTGCTGTAAAAGAGCTCTTACTATAAGCTCTTCTACTGTGTCAATTTTCAACTTTTTCCACACATTCCTCTATGCCAAGATTATATCTCAAGAAAAATATAAAACAAAAGCAAGAAAAAATATACACTATATATCTAAACATACCATAAACTGAAAACTAAACATTACCGACAAATTCTTCATTATGCATATAATAAACACTTACAGTATAATACTCAAATATAGTTTTATAACTGCTTTTTTTTATCTTAAGTATTGAAAACTTATGAATAAAATTAAAGCATTATCCATAAATACTAATGTTCTTTATCTGCAAAATATAAAACTAATATTTGAGTAAATAAATAAGCAAGTTGAGATTCTAAGAGCAGAAGAGGCATAAGGTTATAAATCAGTCACTTTACAACTATTATGCCTATTTTATTTCCTCTAAATGAGTAACCATTCAAATAGTTTGGTTGGCAGTATTATATTCATGTTATCTGATATCAGACTTGGTTAACGTAAGTCATAATCATGTGGGAGTGCCATCACTCAAAATCACTGTCTATATACTGTCACTGGTAGTTCAAGAATTTCTTTTTTTACTGTACTTGCAATTGACAGACAATATCATTCCAGTGATTATCCCACAACCAACTTTAACCACTGTCCTTCAAAAATTATTAACCTTGTAAAATAACATTTTAAATGGAATTACTCAAAATTAAAAAGAGTGAATATTCAATCATATCCAAATATCACTGAATCTCCTGGGAAATATTACACTAATGCTGGAACAAATCTGGACAACAGATGATACTGCATGACATTTTCACATTTAACTGAGACTAGTCAGTACTTTAAAGCAATTACAGATGCACTCTTATGAATCTAATCCTGTTGAAAAATGCATCCTTTTCTTTACATATTGTATACATGAAAAATATATGCCATATCTCAAATTCATCTGAAAACTAAGATCACAATATCTTGACCAATACTGTAGAGAATAGGAAGCCATATTTACTTCCTTGAAAAAATATTTTTTCATTTAAAATACCAGGCCTGAGATAATACATAATGGTAATATTACAAAAATTAAGCTTGATATTACAAAAATTAAGCTTACTTTGCAAACTAAATTGAAATATTGAATTAGTATGTTTAATTCATCATTAATATCACTGATTGTAACTAAAATGGGATCATTTAAATTTTAATTTCAAATTTTCTGTCAAGCAATATATACATATATATAAAAAAAAGGCTACTGCTTTTAATAATGAATAAGGAAGCAGAGTTAATTTTTAAGGCCTAAACTAGTTTACATAAATTGTCAAGGCTATTTTTATTTACATTTCATCCAAAAGCAGCCATCATTGTTCAGTCATCGGTCAGGAATACACATGCATACCATTTCACCCCCATCTGCATTAGCACATGCTCTACACAATAGTTGTATTTCCCCATCTCCTCAGCCTGGTGTCTGTTTTACGAATTATTCACATCAATTTTTTTCAAAATATAAATATAATTACAAGTTATATAACACAGGAAGGAGCAAGGTGATGAGGATAATAAATGAGTAAAGTAATGAAAGATTGGATGTCAAACTGGAAGGAGGGAGTATGGAGGAAGTGAATGTGTTCAGATATTTAGGAGTGGACTTGATGGTGGGTGGGTATATAAAAGACGAGGTAACCCATAGAATTAACGAAGGAGAAAAGGTGGGTGGTGCACTGAGGTATTTGTGGAGACAATGTTATCTGTGAAGGCAAAAGGGGCAATATATGAGAGTATAGTGGTACAAACACTCTTGTATGGGTGTGAGGAATGGGTTGTCAATGTTGAAGTGAGGAGGAGGCTGGAGGCAGTGAAGATGTTGTGTCTGAGGGCAATGTGTGATGTAAATATTATGCAGAGAATTCATAGCTTGGAGATTAGGAGGAGGTGTGGAGTTACTAAAAGTATTGTCTCGAGGGCTGAGGAGGGGTTTTTGAAGTGGTTTAGACATTTAGAGAGGATGGAGCAAAATAGGATGCCTTGTAGGGAGTATAAATCTGTAGTGCAGGGAAGGAGAGATAGGGGTCATCCTAAGAATGGTTGGAGAAAGTGGATAAAGAAGGTTGTGTGGAGGAACAAGGTAACATTTTGTGAAGGGGTTCAGGGAAATTGGTTAGCCAGACTTCGAGTCCTGGAGGTAATAAGTACAGGGCCTGCAATCTGGAAGGGTGGGGATATTTGCATTTTTGAATGGCATCTGAACTGTAATATCAGCTTGCCTGTGGCAAGACAGTGTTGGAGTGAGCGACAGTGAAAGTGTTTCTTTTGCGGGTCATCCCATCTTGGTGGGAGACGGACAATGTGCTAAAAAATATATTTTTTTTATTTACTGTAAAGGATTTATTAAAAAATCACAATATGATTAGTGATTTAATTATTAACATGTTCAGCTACACACCAAATGCAAGAAATGAAGTGTATAATGGAATGGCAAATATTTAAATGGACGGTTGAGCGGTGTTTGCAAGAGCTTGACCAATTGTACTTACAGAATGGGTGGATATAGCTATTTTTAAAAAGTTTTATTTTAATAAATTCTAAAGTTTGTGTGTAGGAAAGTAAGTGAATTTTTTTATTTGCATGCATTATGTATTTTTATGCACAGGCACTGGCAGGCCCTATTTAATCATTAACCAATTGAAAAAACATTTCACTTTACCATATGTGATGCATTAAGAGTATTAATTTACTAAACATACAGCATTAAAGGTTCTACCAAACTTATGCAGCCAATACATGGACTCAAAGGCATACCACTGTGGGCAATTGGAGGATATAAATTAAGATTCCCATGTCCAGTATGAAGGCCTCAACACAGTGTTGCATACTACTAGCTTTTTTTTCTTTAGACTATTAGCCAAAGCTATGAGCATCATCCTAAATTTCAGTCTATATTGAAGAATTAGTTTAAGTGCTCTTGAACACTCACACTCTTTCCTTTCGGATGTGTCAACATAAACATGCTGAGCAAGTCGAGAGCAAAAGCAGTCAATAAAGAATACACCATTACCAAATGGCTCAAGATGAACATCTGCTGTTTTTCCTTCCCTCAGGTCCCTCCTGCTCTCTGAATTTGGTAGAGCCTTCTACAAGTCACATAACTGAGAAAGATTTTTCCCCCCTCCTCAGCTGTTTTCTCAAACATAAAAGTAATACAAAAACTCCATCAAATGTTACCACTAACCCAAGATATGCAGTATCCTAACATATTCACTGAGATTAATATTGTTGTGTCAAATAAGTATTTACTGTCCAGATTGTTAATTCAAACACATTTTAGTGCCAAATATTTTCCACTTGTACATATCCCAATTTATAATGTGGTTCAGTATCACATATACACTGTATACACTAAATGTACCTAATGGAAAAGTTTTCATGAATTTAACACCATTAAACAGGGTATGCCTGTGTCTGTGTAATACAAGTGGTGCACACGTGTATGGGGTGTGCATGTGTTGAGTGCATGCATCTGTCGGGTGCATGCATGTGTGGGTGCGCGCATGTGGGGCATATATGGTGTGTGGGTGATGCCTGTGTTTTTTATGTTTTGTGTGGATGGTACTTGTTCAAGAAATTGTAATACATATCTCAAACATATGGTACTACATGTTCAAGAAAAATTGCATGATTACAGGAAGTCAGGTAGAACCACACTGAAACTGGAAAGAGTCATGAAGTCTTATGTTGGGGCAGTTCTGTCATGTCATAAAACCTAGTGAATTCCCTGGGTTCTTTGATGTAACTGATGTCACCCTTTCACAAGTGTAACAATATGAGGACATCATTAATCCTGTTAGGCCAACAAAGCTTTGACAATGTATATTTGCAATGTAATCGATCAATTATTTTGTATTCAGTGATCTGACAAACACTTGTGTTTACAACACATCACCAATAACTTCTTCCTATCTTGACAAGAAAAGCTAATTTAATGGGGTAGCCCTCTTAACTTACCAGCAGTAAAGGCCAATTGCATGACTGCACTCATAACAGTTAAGAGGTAAGCACCACATTAAGAGTCCATCTAATTTTGTATTTATTAAAAAAAAAAAAAAAAAAAAAAAAAAAAAAAAAAAAAAAAAAAAGAAGAAATAGGTTTCATCAAACAAATCATCACTACAGTACCATTTCTAGATAAATTCAGACTCCAAACTAGTCTTACCTACATATATAGTCTGAAAATATGTTATAAAAATATTACCATAGATATAATTTACACCAGACCAAACAATCACACAGTTGAAATAAAATGAAGTCTTTTATAGTGTAACTGTTGCCTTTCCAGCTTCAAGAAATTATCTGCCTGATGTACCCCAAGTCAGAATTGGCAGGATTGAATTATGAACAAGCCATTCTGCCATAACTAGAAGACATGCCCTAAAACTTAAGCATTTATCTTTAAAATAGATTGCTATTATGACATGCAGTTGGTAAGATAAAATACTGTTGCAATTAGTCCATCTTAATATATATATATATATATATATATATATATATATTATATATATATATATATATATATATATATTATCTATATATATATATATATATATATATATATATATATATATATATAATATATATATATATATATATTATCTATATATATATATATATATATATATATATATATATATATATATCATTATCTATATATATATATATATATATATATATATATATATATATATATATATATATATATATATATATATATATATATATATATATATATATATATTTTAATATTTGGTTAATATGGAATGACAAGTAGCATATCCACTACATTACCTAGGCAGATTTCTTGACTTCCTTTGGTTCAGATATCAAGTTGCAAGAAATTAGGAATGGGAGTTATACTTCACACGAGTTTTTCCTTATTTGTCTTGTGTATAAAATACCAAGCTGATTCAGCAAGCAGGCTTGGTGTCAAAAGTATCTGTAGAGGCCAGAGGAGCAAGGAAGCCAGGCACAGCAACCACTTCCCTTTATCCAGCAACTCAGTGACCAGAATGAGCTGTAAAAATTTGAAGTCTCTCTTAAAATATAAATTAAACAATATAAATAGCTGACAAAAGATGCATTACTATACACAAAAGTAAACAAAAATATTTCCTAGCCACTACTATCATATTTAGCCTGCACGAAGATTTAAAGCTTTTACCTTTAATTTTGTAATTGTTGCATTTCTTGAACCTGACATATTTTATCTATACAATTTTTTTTTAAGTATGGATACTATATGATTGCTGCACGGGCTGCTACTCTCTTCAATTCCCTGTGAAGACCTTCATCAGAAGTTTTGCTAAAGTCTCAGTGCACAATACTGCATTAACTGCCATGATCACTTGCCTCAAATAGCTTTGTGAAAGAAGTATAAGTTTGGCCTCATTACAGCGCACTTGCACTACTGTCCACAGGATGGATACGAGTCACACAATAAATGAACTGCCTCAGCGGCAAAATCTAATTTTGCAGTGCACAGCATAATTTTCATCTAATCTCTTTTTTGCTTTCTTCCATTCAAATTTTGTGGCCATTTCTACATAAAATTAAGTAGACTTATTATTGCACTTGCTCAACCTCTTAGACTACTTTGTAAAAATCTGCAGTCATCCTAATTTATTTTGTGTCTGCAAACCTACTGATATACTGTGTAGTTATTTATAATTTTGGTAATCTTAGACCTCACTGGTAACATTCATCTGAGCAGTTTTCTAAGTATTACTAGTAAATATTTTTCTCACATACCAATTACTTCTCAGTCTTCATAGTAGCGTGCTTTTATTAAACACATTTTATACTTCCATAGTTATTATTACAGATAATTCATGTAAAGTACTAAACCCACAAGTCACTTGGAAGAGAATGACAAAGAAATCTACCATAAAGTATTAATACTTTTTGCTTTTATTATACTGCTCACAACAGATTTGTATTCTGTGCACTATTAGTGTAGGGTTCTATTCCTACATATATGTAGTATATATTCAACCTATCATCCTGAACCCATGTTGTTTTTTAATTTTAGCTAGCTCTCTCTCTCTATCTATATATCTCTCTCTCTCTATCTCTCTCTCTCTCTCTCTCTCTCTATATATATATATATATATATATATTATATATATATTATATATATATATATATATTATATATATCTACATATATCTATATATATATATCTACATATATCTACATATATCTATATATTATCTATCTATATAATATTATATATATATATATATATATATATATATATATATATATATATATATATATATATATATATAGTATATATATAATATCTTGCTCTCTCTCTATCTAGCTCTCTCTCTCTAGCTCTCTCTCTCTAGCTCTCTATCTATCTAGCTCTCTATCTATCTATATCTAGCTCTCTCTCTCTATCTAGCTCTCTTCTCTCTCTCTCTAGCTCTCTCTCTCTCTAGCTCTCTCTCTTTAGCTCTCTCTCTCTCTAGCTCTCTCTCTCTCTCTAGCTCTCTCTCTTTTCTCTCTCTAGCTCTCTCTCTCTCTCTCTCTAGCTCTCTCTCTCTCTCTCTCTCTCTCTCTCTCTCTCTCTAGCTCTCTCTCTCTCTCTCTAGCTCTCTCTCTCTAGCTCTCTCTCTCTAGCTCTCTCTCTCTAGCTCGCTCTCTCTCTAGCTCTCTCTCTCTCTAGCTCTCTCTCTCTCTAGCTCTCTCTCTCTATCTCTAGCTCTCTCTCTATCTAGCCCTCTCTCTATCTAGCTCTCTCTCTATCTAGCTCTCTCTCTATCTAGCTCTCTCTCTATCTAGCTCTCTCTCTATCTAGCTCTCTCTCTCTCTAGCTCTCTCTCTCTAGCTCTCTCTCTCTAGCTCGCTCTCTCTCTAGCTCTCTCTCTCTAGCTCTCTCTCTCTCTAGCTCTCTCTCTCTATCTCTAGCTCTTTCTCTATCTAGCTCTCTCTATCTAGCTCTCTCTATCTAGCTCTCTCTCTCTATCTAGCTCTCTCTATCTAGCTCTCTCTCTCTCTCTCTCTCTCTAGCTCTCTCTCTCTCTCTCTCTCTCTCTCTCTCTAGCTCTCTCTCTCTCTAGCTCTCTCTCTCTCTCTATTTTTTAACAAGTCAGTTGTCTCCCACCAAGGCAGGGTGACCCAAAACGAAAGAAAATCCCCAAATAGAAAATACTTTCATCATTCAACACTTTCACCTTACTCATACATAATCACTGTTTTTGCAGAGGCATCAGTTCCAGCTGCTTTACCCCCTTTCATTCTACGTAATGCCTCACGTACCTCCACCACACTTACATTCTGCTCTTCTTCACTCCTAAAAGATGGTATACCTCCCTGGCCAGTGCATGAAATTACCGCCTCCCTTTCTTCCTCAACATTTAAAAGTTCCTCAAAATATTCTCGCCATCTACCTAATACCTCCCTCTCCCCATCTACTAACTCCCCTACTCTGTTTTTAACTGACAAATCCATACTTTCCCTAGGCTTTCTTAACTTGTTTAACTCACTCCAAAATTTTTTCTTATTTTCATTAAAATTTCTTGACAGTGCCTCTCCCACTCTTTCATCTGCTCTCCTTTTGCACTCTCTCACCACTCTCTTCACCTTTCTTTTACTCTCCATATACTCAATATACCATATACCAACTCCATATACCAACCACCCCAACACTACATCCCCCCCTGCTTTTAACACTTCTATCATGATCCCGTCAGTTCCGGCTGCTTTACCTCCTTTCATTCTACATAATGCCTCATGCACCTCCCCCCACACTCACATCCTGCTCTTCACTCCTAAAAGATGTTATACCTCCCAGACAAGTGCATGAAATTACCACCTCCCTTTCTTCATGAACATTTAAAAGCTCCTCAAAATATTCCCGGCATCTACCCAATACCTCCAGCTCCCCATCTACTAACTCTCCTACTCTGTTTTTAACTGACAAATCCATTTGTTCCCTAGGCTTTCTTAACTTTTTTATCTCACTCCAAAATATTTTCTTACTTTCATCAAAATTTCTTGACAGTGCCTCTCTCACTATCATCTGCTCTTCTTTTGCACTCTCTCACCACTCTCTTCACCTTTTACTCTCCATATACTCTGCTCTTCTTATAACACTTCTGCTTGTAAAAACCTCTCATTAGCTACCTTTTTCTCTTATCACACCCTTTACTTCATCATTCCACCAATCACTCCTCTTTCCTCCTGCATCCACCCTCCTATAGCCACGAACTTCTGCCCCACTTTCTAATACTGCATTTTTAAAACTATTCCAACCCTCTTCAACCCCCCCACTACTCATCCTTGCACTAGTCCACCTTTCTGCCAATAGTTGCTTATATCTAACCCTAACTTCCTCCTCTCTTAGTTTATACACTTTCACCTCTCTCTTATTTGTTGTTGCCATTTTCCTTTTGTCCCATCTACCTCTTATTCTAACTGTAGCTACAACTAAATAATGATCCAATATATCAGTTGCCCTTCTATAAACAAGTACATCCTGAAGCCTACCCGATCAACCTTTTATCCACCAATACATAATCTAACAAACTACTTTCATTGCGTGCTATATCATACTCACACACAAGCGTGTGTGCGTGAAGATAGGTTTATGTTAATTAACCAACTAATTATAACACGCATTAACATAACTTTTTCGTTTTTTCTTTCTTTTTGGGTCACCCTGCCTCGGTGGGAAACAGCCGACATGTTAAAAAAAAAAAAATTAACATAATGAATATAATACTGTAATGCATAAAGTAGAGGCTGTTTTCATGCACAAACAGAAAATAGGGAACCACTAAGAAGACTGATGAACAATCCCGACATTTGCATTTCAGTGTAATCGTCACTTTACAAGCAGTTCTGGGTGAGAGTAAAGTATACTGACATTTGCTTAGAAGGTTGGGCTAGTACATTGAAGAATTCTAGATTACTTATGTTCTACTGCATTTTTTACTTAAATAATAACTGACTGGGATATAGAGGTTAATATATTGAATACCACAGTGAAAGAGCTAACTTAATTATTACTCCAAGGTTATGTAGGATACAAAATTAAGATTAGAAAAAATGTTGAAATGTAAAAAATAATGCACACAAAAAATCTAAATTAATGTACAGTACTAGCAGCTACTTTACCTGTGGTAAGGGTGGGTTTACCAAATAGGTACTTGGGTGAATATTTTTAACATTCTTCATGGGGCTTGAGGGGAGTCAAGACGATGCGTGGGTCTTCTTCTAGGATGCGCTCATTGTCATCACTGAAGGAAAGTTGGATCATACAGATAAGGTGAAACTAATTGTTTTACATACTTCAGGTTCATTTTACTGATTCCATGAAATCAATACCTTAATATTTACTTAAAACTGCTTTTAAGCTCCAGTTATTAATGTTATTCAAACATTCTTACATAAAAACTGAAGTTGAAGGTCAATACCCACGAAGTCATTAGCTATAACTTTCCTTTAATACTAGCAAATTCACTGAACAATAAATCAGGAAAATAATAGCTAAGCTATTACATCACCTTGCACTAAAGGTGCCTTTTTAAAACACAGACCCTTGCTGGTAAGCTTTCATTGAACAAAATTTTAACATGTCAACCAGGCAGCTTAAAAACTTGTTGCCAACTTTTTCTTTTTAAGTATGCAATACAGTTCTTTTTTTATACTACTGTAGTAAACTTTAATATTTAATGCAAAAGTGCTATAAAAAGAAGGTACAGTATAATGTCCCTCTATTTCCTGAACAATATTTAATTATTTCTCACTGAAGAAACTTTGGTTATTTACCATACTAATTTCTTTGTAGCTACAATAAGAATGTAGACAGCCTGTACTGTCTGCACAAACAGCCCATGCTGTCTGCCAGCTTAGTTCATATTTCGTGCCACTCAAGTGCTGCCCTCTGTAGCCAGGCCTCTTGGTGGCCACTTCAGCCTGCCTGGCCTTGCCACGCACTCACTCACACAGCAGCCTAGCAGCAAGACACAAGTACTAGTAGTTCTCTCTCATGGGATGGCCCTGCCCGGGCCATGGGCACAAACACACAAGCCTGTGTACCCACCACGACTTAACAATAAAGTAAGAAGCCTCCGAAGACGTATTATTTACTCCCCGCTTTCAGCTCTACCAAACAATCCTTTTTTTTTATAAATGGTGGAAAGCGGTGGTCGCAGCAGTGTGTTTGCCCAGAGAAAGGAAGGAAGAGGTATGAAGTCATCTTCACTTCATCATCCCATACAACAAGCATCCGTCTCTCAACGAGTTATCCTGATGTCGTGTCTGCACGTTTGAGCATCCAGACACAGGTACAAGCAGGATCCAGGCCAAAATTCTCCGAGAATTGCAAGTGACCCCACGCTACAGCGTCCCACGCTGTTTCTCAAGTCACGTGTTCAGCGTCACTTGTATGTTGCTGCTGTTGTTGTTCAGCTCAGCACAGCTGTTTCAGCAAGACAGGGGTGAGTTTTGTGGTGATTTCTGCGTCCAGTGTGAGCTTCTCCACGTGTTTGTGGGTGGGGGAGGAGGAGAGGAAGTGGCTGTTCCTCACCTTGCCCATGCTCGCCCTACTCACACCTCACCAGCCTACCATACACTCGCCACTGCCCACTCCCTCTGCTGTGTTTTCTGCTGTTTTCCATGTGAATTCATTGCCAGAACTGTGTATCCGAGTGCTCGAGGCCACTCAAAGCTACGTGGATCAGCATGCCACGTAGATCACGACACCACGTGGATCCCGACGCCACGTTGGGTGTGGGCGATGTCACGTGTATCTACAAGTCACGTGAGTTACCAATGTCCCAGGCCACATGCTGTGGTCTGCTGCCCGCATCACATTGACGTCACCCACGATGTCTGTCTGACGTCACCTCGAGATGTCTGCTGACGTCACTGCTGCTGACGTCACCTCGCGACATCACGCCTGACATCACATCGAGTGTTTCTAGTAATTATTTCAGTATTGTCGAGAAGATTGAGAGAAAATATATGTCGTGTGTTAATTAATTCCTCTCAGTCAGTGTTCTCACATTTTAGTATGTCTTAGAGTCAGTTTTATGCGCAGAAAAGCATCATTTGCTAGTTTAAGCCATGTTGTACCGCGGGTGTGTAAAGTTTCCGTGTGTCCAGTGAGGTCTGAGCCAGACCTGAGTAGCACCACTGTGTTAAGTCACCCGTGTGACCAGTGTGTTTGACAGCTATCAGACAACCCCGAGTGACCGAGCCCTCTTGTACAGAAAGCTTTTATGCTCGTCACTCGTGATGTTCTGCAGAATCGTACCTGCTACGATTCCCATCGAGATTTGCTTCACTTCACCTCCAGACCGTCAGAGTGCAGTTATATGTAGAGAAACAAGTCTGGGGACGCTTAGACTAACCTCTGCTATAACTCCAACTGCCGAGAGAATGATACTCGTCAAGCCGCAGTCAGCCCTGTCGGCAGGCGCTGTGTCAGCCTCGTGTCACAAGCTTCAGTGAGCAGCCTGCACAAAGAAGATGTCACTTTGACTGCTAGCTCTCTCACTGCAGTCTGGTGTATGATGTTACGACTCCCAGATGTTTCGCCCAGTTGTCTCTGCCACGACTCGCTCCACAACTCACTCCACGCTCGCCGGCAGTGACAGCCCAGCGACAGTACCAGTCGAGAAGTGTCCTCCTGAGTCGCTTGCCAGAAGTCCTGCCCAGTTGCCGAGTTTTGTCAACGCCACACTCGAGGGCACCAGCATGTCGTGCCCCAGGTTGAGTGAAACCTGCAGCGACTCCAACGATGACTGCTTCACCGTTCCAGAGGAGACCGTACCCTGTTACGTCACAGCTCAGCCGCAGCGATGTCTCCTGTGTTGCAGTATCTGTCCAGACGCAGGAAGGCGTGCAGTGATGCCCTTCGACGCTCACTGCCCATGACCACGATGTTCAGCACACCCCACATGTTTTTTTTCTTCCCTCCCTGTAGGAAGTTTTTTTTTTTTTTCATAGCTTTCTTCAATGACCATAATATCAACAGGAACATTTTTTCCATTCCAAATCCTGATCTTCTCAAGGACCAATATACTGAACTCCATGCCAAACCTAATCTAGGTTCACTCGCCCCTTTCAGGGCAGGAGAGAGCTGGAAAATGTACAGAGGCCATACTCTGCCAACAAAGAATCAATAGCACATCTAAATTATAGGGAATGTCTCAAAGAACTGATTGCTCTCTCTATAAAATGCAGATGACAGAGACACCCAACAATGTATACATGAAAAATATTTATGAGCCCGTTCATCAATCTGCATACTGCCATCACTTATAGGAATAAATGATATGGGAGAAAATGTAGCTTAAGCCCAGTGAGAGCTGCCATTAGTACAGTTATGAGAACAATGTGTCCATCCACAGCCCCATAACTCAAACCTGTTACTTTACCAGTGGACATCAGAAATACAGTTAACCTTCAATATAATGGACCAATATAATGGGCTTTTAAAATTATGAGCAAATTCCACTGGGTAAAGTGTAATTTTAACTTATTTTTAATATTTATCGAAGAATATCCATAAACTGCATTAAGCAATAATATACAGTAAAGTACTTTAGTGAATTTTATTGCTACTTTTAAACACTGTTCTGATATAGCAGACACCCCTACTAGTCCATAATATCGAGAGTTTACTGTACTAATTAACAAAGACAGAAGTTTCTGAAGAAGAAGCTGTACCATCATCTCCAGCAAATTTCTGAGGATGCAATTTGGGATGGGTATGTGGGCCTGAAGACAGCTAGCACAAACAGCCTGGATAACCAGGTAGTCAAGGAAAGTTGGCCTGAGGTTAGGCTGGAAGGGTATAAGAATCCTCAAAATCAATTGCAAATGTCACAGTGCTTAGTGATACCATACACATCCTTTGAGGTTTCTCATGATGTTTCATAAAATCTCAAATTCACAACCAATTTTTTACACATTTGCTTCCCAAATAAACTAGTCTTTCTTGCCCCATGATGTTCCAGACAACTATGATTTAGAAACAGTCTTAAAGATGCAAAACAAATTGCTAGATCCTTTATCTGAGAAGACTTCTTGACTCTTATGGTTATGAGGAAAAATCAGTCCCATAATAAGCAAGACAACACAGTATGAAGAGCATTGAGCATTATCCTAATTCAGCAATTTATTCAAGGCTTCTTTAAGTAGAAAATCCTGCAAGAAAAATATAAAAATAAAAAAAGCTTACCCGAGATCAATCTTTTCTTCCATAAGCCGTTGTTCTTCAGATACATCAGTGTATGGTGGTGGTGGAGTATTGCCAACCCCAGGCTGAGCAGGAGGACAGTACTGGGCTGAAACTGGCTCACCCGTGCTGACCATCTAAAAATGTGCATGTACCAGTATTACTCACTCATTTACTTTTATTACAAGATTGAGGTAACAAGTTTGTCAAACATAATACTCAGTCTAACTAACAGTTAACCAGGTTCTAAAACAAATAGTATTATTAAATTCTACTGATCAGATACAGTATTGCTCTGTCTTTTCAGAGTGCCCGATTTAATGAAAATAAACTATAATAAAAGAGGTACTGCAGTTCATTGTGACCTATAGTATCATAACATCCTTACTACAAAATTTAAGTGAACAGTACTGCACAGTACTATATAACCTGCAAAACTAAATCTGGCTAGCTGGATTTTCCCCTAGTGTTTTTTCATTGATACTACATTACCTTCCTCACACTAACAGCTTATAAAGTCTCAAAAATCCTTCATCTCTGTTACTGCTTTTTCCAGCATACAAGTTATACCCCAGTTCTGGCAGATATATTCCGGGGAAAAAAAAAAGAATGCAGTACTTGCTTCAAAATGATAGTAAATCAGTGATTCAGGTAATTCTTCTCCACTTGCCTAACCTATAGACATGACCTACTTCCACATGTGGATTTTTCCATGGTGACACCACCTATGATTGCTTTGCCTCACCTGTCTGCCTGTAGTATATAAGCCCCACCCACATGCTGTAATTTTACAAAGATTGATGGACAGAACACATCGGCTCCAGGCTGAGGGACTGACTATCTCCAACTTCTTTTCTTCCACCATTCTTTTCTGTATTGGTCTGAGGAAGCCACTGGCTGGTAAAACATTTCCACAATAAAGATACCCATTTTTTTTTTTTTTCAACAAGTCGGCCGTCTCCCACCGAGGCAGGGTGACCCAAAAAAGAAAGAAAATCCCCAAAAAGAAAATACTTTCATCATCATTCAACACTTTCACCACACTCGCACATTATCACTGTTTTTGCAGAGGTGCTCAGAATACAACAGTCTAGAAGCATACACATTAAAAGATACACAACATATCCTCCAAACTGCCAATATCCCAAACCTCCTTTAAAGTGCAGGCATTGTACTTCCCATTTCCAGGACTCAAGTCCGACTATATGAAAATAACCGTTTCCCCTGAATCCCTTCACTAAATATTACCCTCTCACACTCCAACATTCGTCAGTCCCAATACCATTCGTCTCCATTCACTCCTATCAACACGCTCACCACGCTTGCGGAAGTCCAAGCCCCTTACCCACAAAACCTCCTTTAACCCCCTCTCTCCAACCCTTTCGAGGACGACCCCTACCCGCCTTCCTTCCCCTATAGATTTATATGCTTTCCATGTCATTTACTGTGATCCATTCTCTCTAAATGACCAAAGCCACCTCAACAACCCCTCTTCTGCCCTCTGACTAATACTTTTATTAACTCCACACCTTTCCTAATTTCCACACTCCGAATTTTCTGCATAATATTTACACCACACATTGCCCTTAAACAGGACATCTCCGCTGCCTCCAACCGTCTCCTCGCTGCTGCATTACCACCCAAGCTTCACACCCATAAGAGTGTTGGTAATATAAACTTCATACATTCCCTTCTTTGCCTCCATAGATAACGTTTTTGACTCCACATATACCTCAACGACCACTCACCTTTTTTCCCTCATCAATTCTATGATTAACCTCATCCTTCATAAATCCATCCGCCGACACGTCAACTCCCAAGTATCTGAAAACATTCACTTCTTCCATACTCCTCCTCCCCAATTTGATATCCAATTTTTCTTTATCTAAATCATTTGACACCCTCATCACCTTACTCTTTTCTATGTTCACTTTCAACTTTCTACCTTTACACACATTCCCAAACTCATCCACTAACCTTTGCAATTTTTCTTTAGAATCTCCCATAAGCACAGTATCATCAGCAAAAAGTAACTGTGTCAATTCCCATTTTGAATTTGATACCCATATGTTGCACAAATATCTCATTCAACATTGTCAGTTTTCTTAACCATTTATATAACTGCCTTTTCACTTGGTTCTCAACTCCCTAAACACTCACTTAACATCTACCTAAATTCCTCCCCCCCCTACACTCCTCTCTTCTGCAGGTACATAAACACTTAACCTACATTCTGCATACCACCCTTATTTTAATCCACATAATCTTTGAATATATACATTTACATTATCTCTTCTTTCCACAACTGATTATTCAACATTACCACTACTCCTTCCTTAGCTCTAATTCTCATAAGATATGCCACACCTAATCCCATATATTTCTCCCCACTGAAAATCCTCTACCTCATTCAGCCTTGTTTCATTTACAGCTAGGACATCCAGCTAATTTTCAGTCATAACATTCACAGTTAATTGTTTATCTTCTATACATCCAGGAACATCTAAACATCCCAACTTTGCTTTTTTTTTTTTAAATTTAGTAATTAAATACAGGTGAGGGGGTTAATAGCTTCTTGCTCCAGGCCTTTTAGACATCTTTTACAACACTTTCTTTAACTCCCAAAGAAAATTAATTCTTCATCTTGTCCCCATATTTCTACTATAAATAACTTCCACAAAACTGAACATCACTGAATCAGCTTGAAATAATAAATTATAAAAACTGTACCATATGTACATTAGCTACCTTTTTTATTGCTACTTTTTTTTTTGTCTTTGTGGGAAATGACCAACATGTTATAAAAAAAAATGTAGCTAACTGCTTAAGAAATCCTACTCGAATTAAAGTCATTGAATCAGTCAGAAATAAGTCATTGAGCTCCCTTTCTTATTGTGCATATAATTGTAGCTATCTGCATAAGAAATCCTACTTAATAGTCTATGTCTAATTCTTAAGTAGTCTTTAAGCATTAGAATTAGTTTGTCCAAAATACATTGCATACTAGTGACATTTTGTACTTTATGTTTTATTACATGTAAACTACATTATCTGTGTACTGAATAAACAGAAATAAAAATCTGAATTTAAATTTGAGAGTAAGGATGCTTCTCCATTCTCCTGTGGAGATAAAATGAAATAGTTTAAGAACAAGAAACTATTAAGAAAACATAAAACTCAGATGAGTGTGTATATACACTCATACCTGTATGTGTTATGTGAACTAAATGTAAGTAGAAGTAGCAAAAATAATAAAAAGGCACAATACACAAATAACTCTCACATAGGAGAATGAAACCTATGACAATGCTTTGGTCCAACTTGGGCCATTAACTAGTCACGTCATCAAAAGTTACATTTTCCCATGTGTGGGTTACTTGCGTAGAAGTGGCAAGATGTACTTGTTATCAAACATGTTCATAAGACAAAGAGACTGCACTAGCTGTCCTATCATTGTATAAAACAATTACAGGTTTTTATTTCACACACCTGGCAGGACCTTCCTGAGTAGCTGCTGTTTACAAACCTACTACCTATAAGTGGGTGTATTTAGATATCTGGGAGTGGATATGTCAACAAAATAGTTGAGGGGTATAAAGGTGTGTAGCTTCAAGATTAGGAGGTGTGGGGTTACTAAAAGCATTATTCAGAGGGTTGAAGAGGGGTTCTTGAGGTGGTGTGGACATGTAGAGAGGATGGAACAAAATAGGATGACTTGGAGAATGTATAAATCTGTAATAGCAAAGATTGGAAGGAGAGGGTCAAGGTTTGTGTGCAAGGGCTTTGACATCCAGGAAGTGTGTATTAGCACATTAGACAGGAGTGGAGACAAAGGGTGTCTGAGACTTCACAAGTTGCTGGAGTGAATGAAAGGCAACATTTTGTGAAGGGATTCAGGGAAACCGGTTAGCCGGACTTCGAGTCCTGGAAGTTGGAAGTACAGTGCCTGCACTCTGAAGGAGGGGTGGGAATATTTGCATTTCTGAACTGTAGTATCTGCACACCTCTAGCAAAATAGTGATGGAGTGAATGATTGTGAAAGTGTTTCTTTTTTGGGTCACCCTACCTCGGCGGGAGACTACCAGTGTAAAAAGAGAATCTAAATAGATATGTATGGATAGTTATATGTCACCTGTCCATTAACCATCATTTGGTTTTCATGGAGACGTTTCCTGATGCGTGCAATCTTGCCTGGACAACAAGGAATGTAGTAGCCCATGTTTCTATAAAGAAAAAAAAACAGAGCATTGTCAAGTATATACAATATTGTGCAGAACAAAAAATAATGCACTTACTACATTAAATACCAAATAATCTTTTTTTTTGCAGTTTCATTTAAAAAATTAGCAATAGTAGTAACTTTAAGTGGACCCTCGAATTTAGTAGTCCCTTTTCTGTATGCAAAACTATTGTTATTCTCTATAAAATGTATTTTTTGTTAATATTTCCCATGAGAAATAATGTAAATCCAATTAAACCATTCCAGACACCCAAAAATATTAACAAAAAATACATTTTATAGAGAATAACAATAGTTTTGCAAACAGAAAAGGGGCTACTAAATTCAAGGGTCCACGTATCTTCTAATTTCCATTATTCTTTTAATTTTTGTATTTTTGCCTCTCCATTTGGTACTATTTTTTATAAATTCTTGTTTTTCACTGCAAATGGTCACTGCTACATTATAGTGGCCAAATCTGTGAATAGAATTCTTTAGTAAATGTTTGTAGTTTTCTGACTAGAAACAGCAAAACAGTGGTACAGGACTATTTTATCAAGGGAAACATGAACTAAATTATCAACTCTGCTTTATCCTTCACATTCATTTCTGTCTGCAATTTTCTTCATTTTGTTTCCATCTGTTCATCATGGATCATTTCCCTCCCCAGTTCCCCACTGGGTTGGCAGCTAATGTCTCTGCCCCCACTCGTGTATATATTCATGCTCAAGACAGGACATAAGCATATTTTCAGTAAGAAATAAAGACACTGGCAGTCACTGCCTACCAGGTATAGGCAACTGGCAATCACAAACAGGTATCCAACGAAATTGCAAGTACAATAACTTAAGTCAACATATACGTTTATGAATAAAATTTTCCCAGGGGTTAATGCATAAATTATTATTTATTATTATTACAGGAGGACCTCACTTTACAGTGCTTCACTTTACAGCATTTTGCTAATACAGCAGTTTTCAGTTATACCCATTCTTTTTTTACTCAAGACTTCCTATAATAAATCTATTCAGCACTCACTATAAGCTAAGGATGAAAATATTTTAAGGTAAGTAATGTGTCTAGGTAGTAGGTTGGTAGACAGCAACCGCCCAGGGAGGTACTACCGTCCTGCCAAGTGAGTGTAAAACGAAAGCCTGTAATTGCTTTACATGATGGTAGGATTGCTTTGTACCTTTGAAGAAGAACCTTTATACCTTTACCTTTGAAGAATTTTGAGAGTATATCAACTCTCTGAGTCCGGCCATGGGCCAGGCTGGTGTCCTTTTTTCTGTCTCATGAAAATGCAAGATTTCAGGTACGTCTTGCTACTTCTATACATACACTTAGGTCACACTACACATACATGTACAAGCATATATATACACACCCCTCTGGGTTTCTTTCTAGTTCTTATTCTTGTTTATTTCCTATCTCCATGGGGAAGTGGAACAGAATTCTTCCTCCGTAAGCCATGCGTGTTGTAAGAGGCAACTAAAATGCCGGGAGCAAGGGGCTAGTAATCCCTTCTGTATAGATTACTAAATTTAAAAAGAGAAACTTTCGTTTTTCTTTTTTGGGCCACCCTGCCTTGGTGGGATACGGCTGGTTTGTTGAAAGAAGGATAAGTAATGTGTGTCCTAGATAGTAGGTTGGCAGACAGCACCCGCCCAGGGAGGTACTACCGTCCTGCCAAGTGAGTGTAAAATGAAAGCCTGTAATTGTTTTACATGATGGTAGGATTGCTGGTGTCTTTTTTTCCGTCTCATAAACATGCAAGATTTCAGGTATGTCTTGCTACTTCTACTTAGGTCACACTACACATACATGTACAAGCATATATATACACACACACCCCTCTGGGTTTTCTGTTATTTTCTTTCTAGTTCTTGTTCTTGTTTATTTCTTATCTCCATGGGGAAGTGGAACAGAATTCTTCCTCCATAAGCCATGCGTGTTGTAAGAGGCAGCTAAAATGCCGGGGGCAAGGGGCTAGTAACCCCTTCTCCTGTATATATTACTAAATTTGAAAGGAGAAACTTTTGTTTTTCCTTTTGGGCCACCCCACCTCGGTGGGATACGGCTGGTATGTTGAAAGAAGAAGTAATGTGTGTACTGTATATACATTTTTTAGGCCTAGTTCTATTGCTCACTTATATAAGATAATGTAAACTTGTTATCAGGCTTTTACATGCATTTGTAAGTGAAAAAAGGCTGTTTCACTTTACAGCAGTAGCCTGGAACCTAACCTGCTGTATAAATGGGGCCTTCCTGTATTATTATTATTATTATTATTATTATTATTTTTGTTGTTATTATTATTATTATTATTATACAAAGTGCTAAATGCAAGCAAGCCATTCAGCACAGTGTTGAAGGCTTGATCCCCATCATGAAAGATGCTACTCTCATATCCAGGCTTACCTAAGACAAAACAAGAGTAAAGGCCAAGGGAAAGAAGTTAGAAGTACGTACATATTTCTAAAAAAAAAAAAAAAAAAAAAAAAAAGTAAATAATAATAATAGTAGTAGTAATTGTAGTATTTATTATTTATTTTTTTTTTTATTATCACACTGGCCGATTCCCACCAAGGCAGGGTGGCCCGAAAAAGAAAAACTTTCACCATCATTCACTCCATCACTGTCTTGCCAGAAGGGTGCTTTACACTACAGTTTTTAACCCTTTCAGGGTCCAAGGCCCAAATCTGGAGTCACGCACCAGTGTCCAAGAATTTTGAAAAAAAAAATTTGTTATTTTTTCTTATGAAATCGTAGAGAATCTTTTTGTGAAGGTAATAAAACAAAAAGTACGAAATTTGGTGGAAAATTGACGAAATTATGCTCTCACGAATTTTGATGTGTCAGCGATATTTACGAATCGGCGATTTTGCCGACTTTGACTCCCATTTTAGGCCAATTACATTATTCCAATCAACCATATTCTTAGCTATTTCACTAGTATTTACTTCTATTCTATCGATTGAGCACAAGAAATCGCCAAGTCAACTGTTTCAACTACAAAATAAAGTGATCGGAAGTTGTTAATTTGGCCAATTTAACACAAAGTTCAAAATATTCCAATTTCAAAATAGGGTCCAGAATGAACAATGTAGGCATTCCTGGCACTAAACTAACATTTTCTCTGTTCATTAGTTATGTTTTGAGGCTTTACAAATAAATTCCATTTTGATTTTTTATTCACATAATGAATTTTTATTCACACCAAAAATAGAAGATTTACTGTTATGAAATACTGTAATAATTGTATAAATATCATCACCATATTTGTGAATGTATATTAGACCCACCAGCTGACGTGTATTAGACGTATGAGGTCGTTTGTTTACTCTTGAATATCGGCAAAAATTTAACATTTCTGCTACTTTGAGCTCAGTTTCAAGCCATTTCCAGTGCGAAAACCAATCAAAATCATCTCTATTTCTGTAATATGTTTTTCCATTCTATCAATGAACCAAGAAATCGCAAATACAACTATAAAAAACATACGAAAAACACTGCAAAGTTGCTGTTTTAATCGAAAAATCATGATTTCATTTTTTTTCTCTCATTATACACAGTGTGCTGCAGGGATCTGTTTTATGTGGTGCACACATACCACATAGATGTATTCTCTCAAATCTAGGCCCAAATGTACCACTCACAGTTTATCAGAGTGAGCTGAGCTCATGGCGTAGATCTACGGTTTGGACCCTGAACGTTAAAGCCGTAGATCTACGGGACGGACCCTGAAAGGGTTAAAAATGCAACATTAACACCCCTCCTTCAAAGTGCAGGCACTGTACTTCCCATCTCCAGGACTCAAAGTCCGGCATGCCGGTTTCCCTGAACCCCTTCATAAATGTTACTTTGCTCACACTCCAACAGCACGTCAAGTATTAAAAACCATTTGTCTCCATTCACTCCTATCAAACACGCTCATGCATGCCTGCTGGAAGTCCAAGCCCCTCGCACACAAAACCTCCTTTACCCCCTCCCTCCAACCTTTCCTAGGCCGACCCCTACCCCGCCTTCCTTCCACTACAGACTGATACACTCTTGAAGTCATTCTGTTTCGCTCCATTCTCTCTACATGTCCAAACCACCTCAACAACCCTTCCTCAGCCCTCTGGACAACAGTTTTGGTAATCCCGCACCTCCTCCTAACTTCCAAACTACGAATTCTCTGCATTATATTCCACACCACACATTGCCCTCAGACATGACATCTCCACTGCCTCCAGCCTTCTCCTCGCTGCAACATTCATCACCCACGCTTCACACCCATATAAGAGCGTTGGTAAAACTATACTCTCATACATTCCCGTCTTTGCCTCCAAGGACAAAGTTCTTTGTCTCCACAGACTCCTAAGTGCACCACTCACTCTTTTTCCCTCATCAATTCTATGATTCACCTCATCTTTCATAGACCCATCCGCTGACACGTCCACTCCCAAATATCTGAATACGTTCACCTCCTCCATACTCTTTCCCTCCAATATGATATTCAATCTTTCATCACCTAATCTTTTTGTTATCCTCATAACCTTACTCTTTCCTGTATTCACCTTTAATTTTCTTCTTTTGCACACCCTACCAAATTCATCCACCAATCTCTGCAACTTCTCTTCAGAATCTCCCAAGAGCACAGTGTCATCAGCAAAGAGCAGCTGTGACAACTCCCACTTTGTGTGTGATTCTTTATCTTTTAACTCCATGCCTCTTGCCAAGACCCTCGCGCATTTACTTCTCTTACAACCCCATCTATAAATATATTAAACAACCACGGTGACATCACACATCCTTGTCTAAGGCCTACTTTTACTGGGAAAAAATTTCCCTCTTTCCTACATACTCTAACTTGAGCCTCACTATCCTCGTAAAAACTCTTCACTGCTTTCAGTAACCTACCTACTACACCATACACTTGCAACATCTGCCACATTGCCCCCCTATCCACCCTGTCATACGCCTTTTCCAAATCCATAAATGCCACAAAGACCTCTTTAGCCTTATCTAAATACTGTTCACTTATATGTTTCACTGTAAACTCCTGGTCCACACACCCCCTACCTTTCCTAAAGCCTCCTTGTTCATCTGCTATCCTATTCTCAGTCTTACTCTTAATTCTTTCAATTATAACTCTACCATACACTTTACCAGGTACACTCAACAGACTTATCCCCCTATAATTTTTGCACTCTCTTTTATCCCCTTTGCCTTTATACAAAGGAACTATGCATGCTCTCTGCCAATCCCTAGGTACCTTACCCTCTTCCATACATTTATTAAATAATTGCACCAACCACTCCAAAACTATATCCCCACCTGCTTTTAACATTTCTATCTTTATCCCATCAATCCCGGCTGCCTTACCCCCTTTCATTTTACCTACTGCCTCACGAACTTCCCCCACACTCACAACTGGCTCTTCCTCACTCCTACAAGATGTTATTCCTCCTTGCCCTATACACGAAATCACAGCTTCCCTATCTTCATCAACATTTAACAATTCCTCAAAATATTCCCTCCATCTTCCCAATACCTCTAACTCTCCATTTAATAACTCTCCTCTCCTATTTTTAACTGACAAATCCATTTGTTCTCTAGGCTTTCTTAACTTGTTAATCTCACTCCAAAACTTTTTCTTATTTTCAACAAAATTTGTTGATAACATCTCACCCACTCTCTCATTTGCTCTCTTTTTACATTGCTTCACCACTCTCTTAACCTCTCTCTTTTTCTCCATATACTCTTCCCTCCTTGCATCACTTCTACTTTGTAAAAACTTCTCATATGCTAACTTTTTCTCCCTTACTACTCTCTTTACATCATCATTCCACCAATCGCTCCTCTTCCCTCCTGCACCCACTTTCCTGTAACCACAAACTTCTGCTGAACACTCTAACACTACATTTTTAATCCTACCCCATACCTCTTCGACCCCATTGCCTATGCTCTCATTTGCCCATCTATCCTCCAATAGCTGTTTATATCTTACCCTAACTGCCTCCTCTTTTAGTTTATAAACCTTCACCTCTCTCTTCCCTGATGCTTCTATTCTCCTTGTATCCCATCTACCTTTTACTCTCAGTGTAGCTACAACTAGAAAGTGATCTGATATATCTGTGGCCCCTCTATAAACATGTACATCCTGAAGTCTACTCAGCAGTCTTTTATCTACCAATACATAATCCAACAAACTACTGTCATTTTGCCCTACATCATATCTTGTATACTTATTTATCCTCTTTTTCTTAAAATATGTATTACCTATAACTAAACCCCTTTCTATACAAAGTTCAATCAAAGGGCTCCCATTATCATTTACACCTGGCACCCCAAACTTACCTACCACACCCTCTCTATAAGTTTCTCCTACTTTAGCATTCAGGTCCCCTACCACAATTGCTCTCTCACTTGGTTCAAAGGCTCCTATACATTCACTTAACATAGTAGTAGTATAAAAATAAAATATCAATTCTACTATGCAATGATTTTACAGATTGCTGTATAAGGCTGAATCAATTGCTATAGATCACAGTTTTTGTGGTAGTCATTCTTAGCCCTCAAACACAACAGTGGAGACGTAGTGTCTGAGGGCAATGTGAGGTGTGAATATAAAGCAGAGAATCCATAGTTTAGAAATTAGGAGGTGCAGGGTTGCTAAAGTATTATCCAGAGGGCTGAAGAAGGGTCGCTGAGGTGGTTCTGACATTTAGAGACGATGGAAAGAAATAGCATGACTTGGAGAGTGTATAAGTCTGTAATGGAAGGAAGGTGGGGTATGGGTTGACCTAGGGAAAGTTGGAGGGAGGGGATAAAGAAGATTTTGTGTGCAAGGGGCTTGGACTTCCAGCGAGTGTGTTGGATAGGGGCAAGTGGAGACAAATGGCTTTTATGACTTGATGTGCTGCTGGAATGTGAGCAAGGTAACATTTATGAAGGGATTCAGGGAAACTGGCAAGCCAGACCTAAAGTCCTGGAGGTGGGAAGTACAGTGCCTGCACTCTGAAGGAGGGGTGTTGATATGTTGCACTTTTATAATTGCTGTGTAGGCATGCCCTTGGCAAAACAATGATGGAATGAATAATGATGAAAGTGTTTCTTCTTTTTCGGGTCACCCTGCCTTTGGTAGGAAACGGCTGATGTGTTAATAAAATAAAATAAAATCATTCTTAATCCACCATTAAATAAAACCTATACATGTATAGTGAATCCTGAAGCAGCTAGCAGAGGTGTGGAACCTAGACCTAAGACTTGATCCCTGCAACCCCTAATAGATAAGACACGAAAGTGACATAAAAGATTAAATACTATCTAATGAAAATGTAGTATTAGTATACAGAGTTAAGGCTAAATTACTGTAGCAAGGAATTTTAGCAATGGACATGCACAGGAGAAACCTAGAATCCATACTGAGACCTAGAGAAGTGAGGGGGGTAATACAAGAGGAGATAGAAGGATACATGAAAATCTAGAGAGACTTTAGGAATGGTTAAATAAATGGTTACAAATGTGTGAAGCTTGAATAAAGATAAAAGACAGTACTATCATGGGGGGAATTTGGATGTGCTTCAATTACAGCACTCGTCATTAAAGTACATTGGAACTATCTAAAATCATGACCACAAGCAGGTTTTCCCACACAGTTTAGGAAATCCTTCAATCATCTAATAAGTGATTCACACATGCGCCAGGGTTTCATGGGGTAAATTCCCCTACAGCTCACTGACGGTATCCTAAAGCTGTGGGAATGGGTTGACATCTTTTCCCTAGTGGATCTCTATCTTAGCCCAGAGGTTCTCAGTGAGATTCGAGTCTGAGGAGTTTCCTGGCCAGTCACTGAAGGGTACCTCACAGTCACAAAGCCACAGAACAAAGAATTTTGCAGTGTGGCAAGGAGAAATGTTTTGCATAAAAACATTTCTCCTTGTGAGTAAAAGATTTAGGCAAATAATAGACCAATTCCAGGTACATTATTAAAGTTAACATTAGTGGGAATGCTTTTCTAGGCTTCTCTGAATGTGTGTTTGGTGTTAACATATCCGATGCAACCAGGTCCTCACTGAATTCTCACAATCACATTTCTTGCTTTTACTATTTCCTGTGTTTAATAGCCTGCCTTATGTAATCCAATTATCTCCACAATTGTCTCATATCAGCAACTTAATCCTGCCCATATTAATTCATCAAAAGCCAAACATGTCTCACAAGCATGGCCCTCAAAACTGGTCCAGGGGGACCATGGACACAAAACTGTCTGTGGAACAAGCCTTAGGATGCAGCCAATAGCCATAAGGAAACCTGAGACATCCTACATTGAGTTCCTAGACCAGTATAACTTTGTCCCAGCAACAAATGTGCTCGAGAAGGGTACTCCTTTGAACAGTAAATTACACTGGGTACCTTCCACCTAACATACTTTAATGATGAATATTGTATGTCATAGATTGGCCCATTCTAATTTCTTTTTACTCTTGTGGCTTTTGCTGTATCTATCATAAGTTTATTATGAATTTTTGAAAGGGTTAAGGGACCATTTAAAGGTTCACATAAGCATTACTCTAGAATGAACAAGTAGAAAAAACATCAGTAGCAGAGATTCAGTTTGCCAACTTATGAGCAATATTCAGAAACCTGGACAATGATACATTCATAATGCATTGTGCCTCATGTGTGTGAACTATTCTTGGGAATGTAGCATTTGTATGGAACCCCTCAAAGCAAAACAGTGAAATGCTGTCAAGCAAACTATCTATACTGATGTCAGAGTTACAATTAGACTACAGACCTCTGACTGTACAGTAATTTTGTATGAACTACAATCCTGAGTAACTCACCTCATATAGAAAATGATGGCCATTATAGCAGCAAACTCCAGAAACACTCCTAGGCATAGGATGATGATGTAGGCTGTGCTATTGAGTTCTTTTACTGAGCCTTCCTCTAAGGACTGGTATGATGTCGCTCCAACAATGATCATCACCTGTTTAATTTAATTTGATAAAAAGATTATATTTAACCCTTTCACTGTCTTCCACATAGATCCATGTCACTGACACCAGTGTCTTTCACATAGAGCTACATTTTAAGCATGAAGGAAAAAGCAAACCTCAGGTCTAAAATAGCAAATTTCAGGTGCTTTCTGGGGTGATTCTGGTCAGTTTCAGGAACCTCCCATGAAAAAAGTGGGTAGGAATGGAGGGTAAAGGGAAGAATTCAAGAGACCTTGGTAGCATGGATAGAAAAAAAAGGAGCTAGAGCTAGAGAGTGAGAGAGAGCTAGAGGGGAGAGCTAGAGAGAGAGCAGAGAGAGAGCTAGAGCTAGAGAGAGAGCTAGAGGGGAGAGAGAGAGCTAGAGAGAGAGAGCTAGAGAGAGAGAGCAGAGAGAGAGAGGAGAGAAGAGCTAGAGAGAGAGAGAGAGCAAGAGAGAGAGAGAGAGAGAGAGAGAGAGCTAGAGAGAGAGAGAGAGAGCTAGAGAGAGAGAGCTAGAGAGAGAGAGAGAGAGCTAGAGAGAGAGAGAGAGAGAGCTAGAGAGAGAGAGAGAGAGCTAGAGAGGAGAGGGGAGAGTAGCTAGAGAGAGAGAGAGAGACTAGAGAGAGAGAGAGAGCTAGAGAGAGAGAGAGAGAGAGCTAAGAGAGAGAGAGAGAGAGCCCAGAGAGAGAGAGAGAGAGAGCAGAGAGAGAGAGAGAGAGAGCAGAGAGAGCTAGAGAGAGCTAGAGAGAGAGAGCTAGAGAGAGAGAGCGAGAGAGAGAGAGCGAGAGAGAAGAGCTAGAGAGAGAGCCTAAGAGAGAGAGAGAGACTAGAGAGAGAGAGAGCGCTAGAGAGAGAGCTAGAGAGAGAGAGCGAGAGAGAGAGAGAGAGCTAGAGAGAGAGAGAGAGAGAGAGAGCTAGAGAGAGAGAGCTAGAGAGAGAGAGAGCTAGAGAGCTAGAGAGAGAGAGCTAGAGAGAGAGAGAGCTAGAGAGAGAGAGAGAGAGAGCTAGAGAGAGAGCTAGAGAGAGAGAGAGAGAGCTAGAGAGAGAGCTAGAGAGAGCGAGAGAGAGAGCTAGAAGAGAAAAGCTAGAGAGAGAGAGCTAGAGAGAGAGAGAGAGAGCTAGAGAGAGAGAGAGAGAGCTAGAGAGAGAGAGAGAGAGCTAGAGAGAGAGAGAGCTAGAGAGAGAGAGCTAGAGAGAGAGAGCTAGAGAGAGAGAGCTAGAGAGAGAGACTAGAGAGAGAGAGAGAGAGCTAGAGAGAGAGAGAGAGAGAGAGAGAGAGCTAGAGAGAGAGCTAGAAAAGAGGCTAGAGAGAGAGAGAGAGAGCTAAGAGAGAGAGAGAGAGAGCAGAGAGAGAGAGAGCTAAGAGAGAGAGCTAGAGAGAGAGAGCTAGAGAGAGAGAGCTAGAGAGAGAGAGCTAGAGAGAGAGAGCTAGAGAGAGAGAGCTAGAGAGAGAGAGCTAGAGAAAGAGAGCTAGAGAGAGAGAGCTAGAGAGAGAGAGAGAGAGAGAGAGAGAGAGAGAGAGAGAGAGGGGGGGGGGGGGCTATCTGAGAGGTAAGAAATGAGAATGCAGTGAAAAATAAAGATGCAGACACAAGGGCATCAGGAAATATTTTTCAGACCTAGAGAAATAAAAATTAAACATTGGTTTTACATTGTTTCCATTACTTTGATGTTAAAAAGAAAAAATATTAAAATACTGTAACTAAGTTTCATGAAAACTCACTCAATTTTAACTATAACAGGAAACTTAAACACTATACAATTAGGTACGACAAAGTAACTGACCATCCCCATGACTGCAAACATGACAGAGATGACGAGGACAAATGTGCGGGACCACAAACTTGCAGAAGAGCTTTGCGCTAGAAAGGAGGGCACCCATGCCTTATTCCGGTCATAGGTAAGTGTGGTGGTGGTGGGCTGGTATACCTGATCTGACCGCATTGTACTGGATTACACACTTTACACTTAACTGAAAAAATACATGCATAAATATTATTATTATTACTCCAGTATTTGGAAAACAAAATTATGACATAATAAGCAGTTTCTAACAGTACAATAAAATTATACAGTACAGTAACTTCAAAAATATTTGGACTACTTGTTCATATTCTATACTGTATTATAGACTAATTAAATAAAAACAGCTAAATCAACTATGAGGGCATCACTAAAACAGCAAATGCATTGCCCAGATTATGCATCTGGAGCAAATATAAACTGAAAGACTGATAATACATTCCATAATTTGAACGCTAAACTGGAAAATGAAAAATATAAATAATTAAGATGCATGATGACATTCAATAATTCTGATTACCAATGGAAAATTCATAAATTAAAACTACAGGTATTTTATAGTTCAACAACAACACACTGATATTATTATATTTATGGTACACAATACCAATAAGTTAATGATTAAGACATGTGCAATAATTGGGCAAATTTACTGACAAGACATTTTGCCTGTGCATCAGGGCATTTATAATCTAATACAAAGGTGACTATTATAGAAGTGAAGATATTTTTTTAAGTCAGATTCCTAAAGAACTGAACACCTTAAAATTACCTCTTCACTTCTATGGTCTCCAGTATAATAGTCACCTCTATATTAGAGGAATAAAGATAATGAAAATACTATTCCCAGAAAATGTTAAACTAAACAAATTTTATATTTTTGTCAATGGACTATGCTTTAGAACTGTCTCCAGTACACTATGCAATCCCAACCATGACAAAAAGGTGACTCAGCTTCTGGAAGGAATGAGGAGCACAAAATTCTATATATTAAATTGCATAATGGCTGGAAGGGGAACTAAATATTTCCAAAATATTACAATGCTTCATGAAATTTAGATATGGTTAGAAGAGGCATATACTGCAACAGCACTAGTAGAATGTAAACAAATTACCTTCAAGTATAATACAGTACTTCCAGAATCATTACCCCTATGGCCCAGCCTCTGCCAATAAAAGTTTTGATTAATAAAGGAAATGAATATGAAATGCTCAACAGTTTGGAATCTTTACTGATGAGATGTTTCACCTGCTCAGCAGGCGATAAGTCCCTCAGCCATGAAAAAGTAAATTTGAGGTGGTTAGTCCCTCTGTCATGGTATGTGTTCAGTTCCATAGCTTTGATTAATGCAAAGCTGTGGTAAGAAAGCAGCCTTTTATACTGCCGGATGTGAGGTGTGGAAGTGGGAATGGTATCACAGCAGGCAGAAGCTGAAGAGTACTACAGCAAGCCTGGCTCATGCTAAGAAGGGCCTCATAACCAATAGTATTCTCACTTATAACTAGCAGTTGAGCAGCAAAGATATAAAAGATGTCCTCTGTACCAAGATAAGGTGGTGATGCTGTATCAAACTATTATATTAATGGTATGTACGTAATATCGAAAAATAGAGGAGTCAAAAACGTGCAAAAGTTTGGTATCTGTGGTCTCCTCTGTATTTAAAATAAGGAAACCTGCTAAGCAGGCAAAATGTCTTGTTAATACTACAGAGACTAAGCTGTTGCATGTCTTATGTATTGTCAGTAATGATTATCATTAATACAATGATACTGTGATTAAGGGTTGGCAGTCAATGGCATTGTTGAGACCCTACCAGCATTATTAAGATGCTTGCCAAAACATCAAAGCTCTTCAATCTAGTTTGTGGTGTAAGATGACTTTCGGGTCAAGTGCTTCACCATCACAAGGGAAGGATGCATGAGTATGGACAAAGTGTAGAACGCACTTTTATTTACTATTTTTTTGCTCAGAAGTGAGCATTATAAATGTCAACACTGGGTAAAACACTGTTCAATAAAAGCAGCATCTGCAATGTGTGGTTTAAAAATGCACAAGAAAACACTAGGACACATCAGAAAATGTTCCAGTCCAGGGACCATGATCACTTCTAACTAAATAACAGTATAGTATATAGGCAGGAAGTGGGGTGTGAATGTCACAGTGACCTGAAAAATGCAAGCAAAGCTTATTTGAGATGAGGTTCAGTGCTGTGAGGTAGGTTGGGCTTTGCCTGGTTGAGTATCATGTATAACAGTGTTTTTTTAAATTTTGTAGCTTCTAGTATTATGTTTCACATTGTTGATGATGGCAGTTAGTAAGGATTCTAGACATCATTGGTGTCTAAGACCATGTTCAGTGACTGTGGAGTTCCTGTGAAGGACATAGGCATTCTTTAAGTCATCCTTGTTGCAGGCATGTGGTGCACCAAAAGATTTCTGCCTTTTCCCCTGTACATATTTCTTGAGACAGCAGCCACAGGGGATGGTGTAGATGCCTGCTGTGTAAATTAGAGGTGTGGAACTAATTTGTAACGAGGTTTTTGATAGAGGATGTCTTGTATTTAGGGTGAAAACATGAATACTGCTTCTACCAAGTACCTGGTGGGTATTCTCAGCAACAACATCACACAGGACAGGGTGACAGCAGAAAGACAAGAGAGAGAGGGGTGAGTAGATTGCATTTTCTTGGACTGTAAGGTGTTTGACAGTTCCACACAAGAGATTAATGCAAAAGCTAAAGGACCAGGCAGAGATAACAGGGAAGGCACTGCAATGGATCAGGGAATACCTGTCGGGAAGACAACAGCTAGTCAAGGTACATGATGAGGTGTCAGAGTGGGCGCCTGTGACGAGCGGGGTTCCACAGGGGTCAGTTCTAGGACTGGTGCTGTTTCTGGTATATGTGAATGACATGACAGAAGGAACAGACTCAGAAGTGTCCCTGTTCGCAGATAATGAGAAGTTGATGATAAGAATTCAGTCGGACAATGAACAGAAAGAACTACAAAGGGACTGGGCAGGCTGTAGGCCTGGTCCAGAAACTGGCTCCTGGAGTTCAACCCCACCATGTGCAAAGTCATGAAGATTGGGAAAGGGCAAAGAAGACTGCAGACAGAGTACAGTCTAGGGGGCCAGAGACTATAAACCTCATTCAAAGAAAAGGATCTTGGGGCAAGTATAACACCGGGCACATCTGAGGCACACATCAACCAAATAACTGCTGCAGCATACGGGCGCCTAGCAAATCTAAGAATTGCATTCCGATATCTCAATGAGGAATCATTCAGGACCCTGTACACTGTGTATGTTAGGCCCATATTGGAGTATGCATCACCAGTTTGGAACCCACACCTAGCCAAGCACAAAGAAATTAGAGAAAGTGCAAAGGTTTGCAGCAAGACTAGTCCTGGAGCTAAGGGGAGTGTCCTACAAGGACAGCTTAAGGGAAATTGACCTGGTGACACTGGAGGACAGGGTGGATAGAAACATAGCAACATGGGACATAGCAACAATGGGGTCACATTTGGAAGTTGAAGACTCCAGATAAATCACAGGGATGTTTGGAAGTATTTCTTCAGTCACAGAGTTGTCAGGAAGTGGAATAGTCTGGGAAGTGATGTAATGGAGGCAGGATCCATACATAGCTTTAAGAAGAGGTATGATAAAGCTCATGGGGCAGGAAGGGTGACCTAATAGCAACCAGTGAAGAGGCAGGGCCAGGAGCTATGACTCGACTCCTGCAACCACAATTAGGCAAGTGTGCACGCATGCATGCACACGTGCATGCGCGCGCACACATGCACATGCACACGCACACACACGCACACACACACACACAAAAAAAAAAAAAAAACTTTCTGCCTATATAACATACTCTGTTAGAAGTGATTAAGGTCCCAGGGCTGAAGTGTTTTCTAATATGTAAAACTGTTTACTCGCATGCCTTTTTAAACTAATTTGTAGGTATCAAATGTCAAAGGTTATATCATTTGTAGTATGTCTCTTTATAGCAATACCCACTAGCATTATGCTAGAACATACAAGAGAGCACAAAAAGCCAGTAAGCCTACCATAATGTTCCTTGGTTTCTTAGGTGTAATAGGACTTTGCATTTAGTTGTGGTGGTGGCTTATTAGAGAAAATATCTCTTATAACCCATAGTCAAATGATCACACACTAAGTGATCAAGCAACCACTGGTATACTAGTGCCAGATTTATAACATATTATAAATCAAAATGTCACATAGTTTTCTAGTATTTTGAACAACAAAGCGCTTTTTGTGGCAATAATACGTACAGTGATAGGCGTAGGAAGAGAGCAGAGAACCTGTACACTCCCACACTAAGAGGTTAAGTTGTGCTGCCAGAGTGGCTAGTTAATGGAGGACCTAATGCTCATCCTGTGAGTGATAGCACAAAAAACAGGCTTACAGAGGTCACAATGGGTCTGTGTCTGATCCCCCTTTGGGCACTGTTATATCACTAGAAAGAAATACTAGTCATTATATATTTAATAATTTCTTCACATAGTAAGTTTATTTATTCAGGTATACACAAATACAGTTACATAAAATTATCGTACATAGCAGCATATGTGTAGAGAACCTAGGATAACCCAAAAAAGTCAGACAGAGTGACTTATTTCCATTAGTTGTACAATATACAGTATACAGTATGCAAATACAAGCTCAAAAAATTTAGATTATGCCTAAAAAAAAAAAATTGGTCATAACTGTGTTGCAATCACTATAAAACCCATTCACTCATCTAGTTGATGCAAAATGTGGATACAACCTCTCAAGATTTCAGATATCTTATCATTAACAATGAGTGTTCTGCCATATCCTGTAAGGTTTGCATGGAGGTGTCTCTGAAAGGTTGGATGTTTCTGTACTAAGACATAATGCTCCAGTGTACAGCCTCGTCCCTGTCCACACATTTTGCATTTTATGTCACTGATATATCAATACAAACTGTTGCCAAATTAGACACATGTGCAACTCTTGGGTATCTTTATTGAGGAAACGTTTCTCCACACAGTTGCTTCATCAGTCCATACAAAGGAGAAACTTGAAGAACAGGAGGAGAATGAGGTGATCAGTCCCTCAAACTTGAGTCGATGTGGTCAGTCCATCAATCTTGAAAAGAATACGGCATATGAGTGGAGAAGCAGCTTATAAACCGTAGGCAGGAGAGGTGCAGCAGTCGTAGGTGGTGTCACATTTGTCCAATGTGGAAGTAGGTCGTGCCCAAGGGTTAGGCAAGCGAAGAATTCCCAAGTATTAAGATCCCAAGAAGTTGCAGTGTCTGACAGGATTGTTAGGTAAGACACATATGCAACAGTTAGGTATCTTTATTTCGAAACGTTTTGCCTACACAGTAGGCTTCTTCAGTCGAGTACAGAAAAGTTGATAGAAGCAGAAGAGACTTGAAGACGATGTAATCAGTCCATCACCCTTAAAGTTTTGAGGTGGTCAATCCCTCTATCAACTTTTCTGTACTCGACTGAAGAAGCCTACTGTGTAGGCGAAACGTTTCGAAATAAAGATACCTAACTGTTGCACATGTGTCTTACCTAACAACCTGTCGGTATTTTATACCATTTTAATGTTCAATCTGACAGGATTGTAGATGAATGGTTCAGAGAACCGACATGGACAAATGTGACACCACCTACAACTGCTGCACCTCTCCTGCCAACGATTTATAAGCTGAACATTAAAATGGTATAAAATACCGACAGGTTGTTAGGTAAGACACATATGCAACAGTTAGGTATCTTTATTTCGAAACGTTTCGCCTACACAGTAGGCTTCTTCAGTCGAGTACAGAAAAGTTGATAGAAGCAGAAGATACTTGAAGACGATGTAATCAGTCCATCACCCTTAAAGTTTTGAGGTGGTCAGTCCCTCAGTCTGGAGAAGAGCATTGTTCCATGGTATGAAACAATATTGTTTCATACCATGGAACAATGCTCTTCTCCAGACTGAGGGACTGACCACCTCAAAACTTTAAGGGTGATGGACTGATTACATCGTCTTCAAGTATCTTCTGCTTCTATCAACTTTTCTGTACTCGACTGAAGAAGCCTACTGTGTAGGCGAAACGGTTTATAAGCTGCTTCTCCGCTCATATGCCATATTCTATTCAAGATTGATGGACTGACCACATCGACTCAAGGTTGAGGGACTGATCACCTCATTCTCCTCCTGTTCTTCAAGTTTCTCCTTTGTATGGACTGATGAAGCCACTGTGTGGCAAAACGTTTCCTCAATAAAGATACCCAAGAGTTGCACATGTGTCTAATTTAACATGTCGGTTCTCTGAACCATTCATCTACAATACAAACTGTACTGCCAGAGATACTTAAAACAATAACATAGCCTTAGTCTATCAGTAACCTCTTAAAATCTGTTGACCTTGTTACTTTCTCCATATATATGTTTAACCTGACACATTTCATTATGATGAGCCATGGATCTGCTGGTTCCTATCTGCACTGTTCTATTTTCTTCAAGCTCGTTTGTTAGTTCCTTTCCGACAATGTATCGTAAACTTCTGTTTGAAAAACGAAATTAATACTCATTATCTTTACTTAATGCTTGTTTGGTTAATTCATCAACTTTGTCATGTTCCTGGAGGCCTATGTGAGAGGGAATCCACAAAAGCAAAACAAGTCCTCATTCACGGACTTTGTTCCACCCACGCAGCCCAATTCCACTTATAACCTTCACACAAGACAAATAACATAACATTACTTAGCACGTGTACGTAGACTTGATGGTAGCAGCGATAGACTTAGTAATGATAAAAGGATAGTGTCTACGCCCACGGCGGCCACACATTAACCATTAGTTGTTTCACTCAGCCGGCACCCTCACCCTCCTTCATTTGCACTCAGTCACACGCCCTGGCCTCTACACAGTAGTCAGAACCAAGTACTCACCACTAGAACTGTGAATCACACACTAAAGTAGACAAAGGTAATGCAGATGACTCACTGTTTACTTTCGCTGCGGCGCCGCCCTGCCCTCTGTTGGCCCCCAACCTAACTATTGCTACTAATAACACTAATGATTATTATTTTATTAACACATTTATTTATTTAAAAATAAAAAAGTTTATAAGAAAATAAGAAAAATTATATAGAGCATATAGAAATTTGTGAAAAGGCTATATCGCTAGCGCACTCAGCTCGCACACTGAGGTCCGGAGTTCGAATCTCCGGTGCGGCTGGATAACATTAGGACGTGTTTCCATAAGACACCTGCTGTCCATGTTCACCCATCAGTATAAAATGGGTACCTGGGAGTTAGTCGACTGGTGTGGGTCGCATCCTGGGACAAAACTGACCTAATTTACCCGATCTGCTCACCATAACAAGCAGCTTTCTATATAGTAGTATGTCATTGATGTCAGCTATGGTCTGTATACCTTCTACGTGTACTTGTAGAAATAAAGATATTATTTATTATTTATTTATTAGTTTTGTTTTTGCTGTTGATGCTGCTATTGGGGATGTTAAAGGCCACCACGACGCAAGCTGTGGTGGCCTGGTCCATGGGAACTCCAAGTTCACAGAGGACGCCAGGCCACAAATATGCGACTCTTGTCGATATTAAAAACGCTTTCGATATTGCAAATAGATAAGCTATTTTGTATTAACTAACTAAAATTGGTATTGATAGTCTCCTTTTATAGTGGACAGTTAGGTATCTCATTATTGTTTCAGGTATATAAAAGTGAAACTAAAGAAATGTAACTTGGCACTCCCCAGGGCGGTGTATCAAGTCCTATACTGTTTAATGTATTAATCAATGCTCTACTTAAATCTCTTCCAGATGCCCCAGGAATATCACAATTAGCTATGCTGATGATATTTCTATGCATATGAAAACCGCATCGTGAAATACAAACTATTCTAAATCATACACAGACAGCCTGTGTTAATCTTGGCTTTTTAATTTCTGCAGAAAATTATTATAATCAAAAAGAAGCGCTAAGCCACAAGGACTATACAGTTTCTGCAGAAAAGACCAAAGTGTAAGTAAGCAAGCAAGTTTATTTAGGCACAGGTATACACAATTAAAATCATTATATATACTGTAAATTACTTAGGATAATCCAAAAGAAGTCAAAGTGACTTATTTCTAGATGTCCGGTAGCTCAGTAGCCCGCTCACTCAGCTTACCACATTAAGGTCCGTGGTTCCATCTCTGGTACGGATGAAAACATTGGGGACGTGTTTCTTTAAGACACCTGCCGTCCCTGTTCACCTAGTAATAAATAGGTACCTGGGTGTTAGCCGACTGGTGTGGGTCACATCCTGAGGACACAACTAATTAATTTGCCCGAAATACTCTGCATAACAAGAGCTTTCCATATACATAGTATGTCACTGATGTCAGTTAGATCTGTATACGTTGTACTTGTAGAAATAAGGATTAAGAACGTAAGAAAGAAGGAACACTGCTGCAGGCCTACTGACCCATGCGAAGCAGGTCCATGTCCCCCCGGCTTAGCCCAATGACCCACCTAGTCAGGTCACTTCCACTTAAGGAAGGAGCACGGCATCAGATCTAGTAGCACAAGCTAGTCAGGTCCAACTCACACCCACCCATACCCACTCATGTATTTATCCAACCTATTTTTAAAACTACACAACGTTTTAGCCTCTATAACTGTACTTTGGGAGTTTGTTCCACTCATCCACAATGTGGAAAATTGCATTTATCTGAATGCATCATTATGTACATAACAGTAAATGAACATAGATAATTATTATTTATCAGTTAGACAAGTAGGAATTTGGGACACCTAGGTCGC